TTAATGTTTGGATGCACACCATCATTTCAACCAGCATCTTTCAATGTACAAGTAACCATGACATGCACATTCCCAGTGCAGACAACAGCAAATTACAGTTCCATCAACAGTTTCTTCAGTAAAAATGAAATTTCTAAAACAATTAGAATGGTAACAAACAACGGTAGCGATTTTATCATTCAAACCTTTTCAAGTGCCTCTAAACTGTATAATCTTGATAGTTTTTAACATTAAAAAAGTCAGCAACTCCAGCAATGTTCAAGGAAGAGTCCAATATCCTGAAATGGGTTTCAAAAGATCCACAAACTGCAGAAACTAAAAGGTTTTCATGTCTAAATTTCAGCAGAATCAGTCAAATAATGTGCATCACGTTCATCTGCATTTCACTGTCTAGGGAAAATGGAACCCCAATGGGTCACACCAAGAGACTACAGGTACATGTACATGTACATCTAGTTTTTAAATTAAGCAGTTAACATTGGTTTGAAGGTGCCTAACCCAAGACATCTGCCCATTTTCATAGATCTACATGCATGTTACTGGTATACCAAAAACTCACACAGAAGGTCATTATTTCATTTGTTGGAGTATTTTTTAATTTACTTGTGCATTCTTTTGGAGCAGCACTTTGCAAAATGGACAATAGAATACATACACATGTATACGTGTAGAATGGACAGTAAAAGTGACAGGTGGATTTTTGGTATAAATTTACATGTACTTGAAGCAACTAAACTGTATTTTTGTTTAGAATTCAATAAACACAACAAATACCTCCTACATATAAAGTATATACCGTACTTCACAACAGACCTGTACTGGCCATCATGGCCATGCTGATCCTTACTGATTTGTCTTCATGTGCGCGTTTGTACATGTGCCAACACACATGTACATGTACATGTACATTAGGATCATGATGTCCAACTTAACCAGTACCTGGTGCCCATAACCGCTTAGCCTGTTCATAAGCAGCACTGTTGATACCACTGCATTAGACAGACACCTGTCGAACATCCCACTGTATTGATGTTTGTTGGTATGGGAACCATACCAACTGTTTCCACTGCTTCTTGTGTATAAATTTGGCACGTGTACTTCTGAACGGCAACCCTGGAAGATAGGCTGTTTGGGAAAACCTAGATGAAAGCCTTATCTACTGTCAGTGAAGGAGGAACAAAGTTCCTATGATACCGCGGCATTAAGATACTTTCTCAGTTCAATCAATTTAACCATTACCCTCCCATTCCAATTACTGTTTTTGCTGATTTCGTTGGACGCAAGCCATAGCCAGTTAACATCAGATTTTCTTACCCGAAAAGCTGCTGGGGACGGGTTTTTTTAACTCCCAAATTCTTCAACCTTGCAACTGTGCTTTATAATAATAATAATAACAGAGTTTTATCTAGTGCTTTCAACCAACCTAGATCAAACTGCTTTCCATTAAAATTACCCCTGCTCACTGGGCCCATGAAATATTCCATGTACATGTACCGACTCAGCTCCTTGGGGAGTATACAGCTCGATGCTGCCATTTCGGCACAACAGCTAAATCAACCACAATAACCATCTCTAACCTCACAGGACCCAATTACTCCTGGGTGGAAAGAGGTAATGAGTGAGAAAGTGCCTTGCCCAAGGGCACATGGACTGGTACTATGACCCTAGGCTGGATTCGAACCCACAACCTGCGGCTTTACCCGCCGACTACGAATCTGATACTCTTAATCACGAAACCACGGAACTCCTTTTGACTCAACTAAGCACAATGCGTTAAAACGTCAGCCGAGTAAATGAAAAAAAGAATTCTTAAACAAGTATACAAATATGTGTGTTAACAAGTCATCCTGCATCAGGTGGTTAAAGAACCCTGCCACTAGCTTTTTTTTTACTGTCCTTTAAGGTTAAGCACCTGTGAAAGAAATCCCCAAAATTTGAAGAATTTTCTTTTATTTAAAGCAAGTGTGACTGTGCATTCAAACTGCTAATTCTGTCTCAAAAAAATTCTCTCATGCAACTTGTGGACACAACCTTACATGTGCACGCACACACAAGGTCTTTGATAGCATTTCATGTAGGCTAGTTTTTACATTAACTTTTGTCTTAAATTGTTAATAGGTGGTTATGGGTACCTGGTTGAATATATTGTATCTGGGTGCAGTTCATGGTATAATCAGTCGAGTATTACCACATACATGTATGGGTATAGTGACCTTTCCCTACTGATACAGCAATTTTTGTCTAAATTCAACGTTAAATATCTCAAGTTGGCGACCACAAATTTTAAATCCCATCGGTACAAACGTGTTTTACAGCTAGTTAATGTCTATAGTCAGGTTTTTTTTGCACAATCAATCAAATTTTTGCAATTGAAATTTTTCGGGGGTTTTTCCATATGCTGCAACGTCTAAGAAAAGCAACCCATAACATGGAAACACCCACACTATCCATTGCAGGCTGCAGGAACAAACCTTGTAATTGGTCAAATAGCACACGATTTGGCCGTCCAAGTATGGTAATACTCCAGACCGATACACATACATGTACCTGTATCTGATGTGCAAACCTAGTTTCCTACAGTATAAGTCGGAATTTTAGCCGACAAGCTGAAATGATCAGCGAACCTGACACACTGTTCAGTACATGCTTTGCGGTTTTACTGTGCAAATCCACCATAAGCTAGACCGCAAATGTCACCAACATGTACTGAACCACTGCACACGCACAGCCGTCGCTCTAGCTTTGTGTATGCATGTACATGTATGGCAGTGCACTGAAAAAGTGAAATCATGTAGCGCCTGGCCGGCAAGATGACCGTCCTGAAGTATCGAAATATATGATGCAGCCGTTTTCCTATAGTTTTGGATTGGGAAAGTGATTCAGTCAGATTACATCTGAAAAATGTCAAATTTCAGTGAAACTGGCCAGTAGTCCACCGTGTGTTTGGATACTACAAAACTTTTTCCAAATGGAAGCTTTGAATTTAAACTCATGGGATCGACTGAAGTGACGAAGACGCTTTTCCTGCTGGTCCTAAGGCTAGATTGGTTTAAAGCAATTTCAGATTGCACAAGAAACTTTTTCACAAATAAAAAGTAACCATGAAAGAAATCCATTCCTCGGCCAGAACCATTATAACAAGCTGATTTTCCAATGAAGTATTTAATTCAGGGAAAGTTCATTAAAGTATCAGAATTCCAGTAAATTAAACAACACCCACTGAATTTGCGTAAATTTTAACTTGACTTTTTCAGCTGCCCGCATCAACAAGAGACGTAGTGCTGCAACCAAGCAATCGCAAAATTACAACCACCTCATTGCTTTCATCCCAACCATATCATAAATCGGAACGACTGTATTGCAAATAGGTGATTCCATAAATGTGGGACCCAATGTGTGACACTTTTCGTGTCCCCCTTACACGTGGAACAAATTTTGAAGATCGGTTGACACCACAGCAGAAAGACACTTGGAAAAAGGAAAGTGGTAAAAATTACAAGCTTGTGTGGTGCCTAATATACTGTTAAATGGACGAAATATTTCATTTAGTTGTTACAGTATAAGGTGCGAACAAACTGATTGGTTTCATGCGTGAGGAGGACACCAAAAATGTCCCAAGTTGGGTCCCAAATTTATGGAATTACCCATATATTCATTCCAATACAGCTCTCGCAAATGCAAAGCTACAGCCCTTACAGGTCACATGGCATGCATACTTATGAAATTCACATGGGTGCTACTTTGTCCGTTGTGTGCAGCCGGTGCATGCCTGTGTAGCCCCGACTTCGTTTCATTTCGGTACAATCTTTGCCGTTTAGTTTGGTCGTAATTTTGTCACAATCTGAGCAATTTCTTTTGGTAAATTTTCCAGCTCCAGGGTCAAAAACTGATAGGAAAAATCCCCATCTCACATCCAATTTATATGTATATTCACACGATTTTGAAAATACTGAGCTTGAGTACGGCGAGTATGGCAATAACTTTCTATGAGTATGCTAGGATCACCGCCATGGGGGCCGTCTTGACTAAAATTTGGCCAACGGACTGGCAAGGTCAAACCCTGTTTATATTTTGTGGATTTCTTACAAAATAGATTTCTCTAATTTAAGAAATATTTGTCATAAAAACTGCTAGTTATAGTTGTCTCGGTTGAAAAATTGGTTTCTCATTTGAATATTTTCAAAGCCTGATTCAGCAGTTTTAGAAACGATTTAGACATAAAACCACAAATGTCACCTGCATGGTACTTTCAACAATCCTGTATGGCCAAACAGAAAGCTTTATCTTCAAAATAAGTTTGTGATGCCAGCTACATTCAAGGTAAACTACTGACCACATTTCCCTGGCATTTAGAAATAACAAGAGCTGCAGTCAAACTGAACACTTTTCATTATGGGAAACTAGGAAAATGACTGCTTCGGTCAACAACGGTCTGGCTGTTCTGGGGTTTGCGTGTAGCGTATGTATGTTTATACTCAGCAGATCCGATTGTGGTGTCGGCATTCTCTGTTATGCAGGGGTCAGCGTGTCTCATGTTTGCAGTTAACTCTTTTTGTGTCTGTTGGACTCGATACACGCTGACATGCTAAGTGTGTTAGCGTGGCCGCTAAAAATAATTCTAACCTGTACTATATACTGAAACTGGTGATAACCATTTCCAATGTATGTATGCAAATGTATGCAAATTTGTGACATCCTTTTAAAAAAAGTGTTTCAAGACCATGTTTGTTTAAAATACGGTTGTTTGAACTAGAAAAGGAAAACTAAGCTCTTTGTTTTCATGTATCACTAAGTTTGGCATCCAGATGAAAAAAGGGATGCATAGGTAAAATGTTGGGGTTCTAATTGATTCACTATGTACAAGCTTATTTCTAATGACCTATTAATTCAACAGAGGCTCTGGCAAATTCTGATTCACCAGATTGGGTCAATTTTTAAGTGCTGCTAGGCCTGACCATTTAGTTGTGACAGAAACGCAAACATTCCATGTCAGACTTTACCTGTTCCAGCAGGTACTTTAAGATCTGGTGGATTTTTGCCTCCCCCAACTCCATACCCTCCTCGTTCAACAGATCTAGGTAGACTTGTCAAAGCATCGGTTCCTGACTGGGAGCCAATGCTGGGCAAAGAGGTAGTAACATGCACATCTGAGTCAACATTACCAGCCAAGGGCTGAGGTGAGAGCGAATCAGTCATGTAATTGGCTTCGTCCACATCACCGCCTCCATCAAAGAGATCAAACGTTTCATTGTTCACACTCGGTGGATTGGAGTCCATTCCTGTGAGATTGGAAGAATCAGTGAGACGGGAGCTGCTGGGATGTCCAATTCCCATAGAACTGCTCAGGAAGTTATCGTCCAGTGTTCCAGTCACCGTGTTATCTGTAATCAGCCCGTGCTCCTGGAGGAGCTGGTCCTCATTGTAGTTGATCATGCTCAGCATCTGATCTGCTGAGGTTCGGTACGGCATGGCTGGACTGTTACTGTGACGAGACAGTGAGGCTGGGCTGTCCTGACTGGGCTCTGTGAAGGCAACAGACACGCTCACTGACAATGGCAGCATGGATTTATCAGCCAGGTGGCCTCCCACATTGTCAGAAAGTGCCTGGATGTTGGGAGACGTCTTGTCATTGTTGTTTTCATTGTGGTGTTGGTGCGCATGCACTAAGTTGCCCCTCCCGTCCTTGGTCAAGTGTAACTGTCTCTCACCTTCTTTAGGCTGTTTCCCTTCAAATTCACCCTGTTGTCGCAATGGGTTCATGTTCATGGGGGGCTGTCCACTTGGATAGTGTACATTTTCACGTCCAAATGCAAGGCTCTCGCTAATTTGGAAGCCCAATGCCTTATCCATAACCTTGCTGTAGATGTTTGCAACACTGGGGTTAAAAATGGCCTGGCTCTGAGACATTCCTGATGAGCCTATTGTCGGGAGACTTGCCATGGTGGTTTCTGCTCCCCTAAGCTGCAGCCTCCCCCCTGGCGAGTACCCACTCCAGTCGCCAAGGTGAGGAATTAGATTCCTGACTGGTCGACTCACCATGTTCGGTCTGGGCACCATGGGCTGCTGAAATGTTCCCAAGAACTGCTTAACATCAGCTGACTGACTGAGATTCAGGGGTTGCTGAGTCAGCCCTGGAAACTGAGAGGGACTCAGGTAGTCCCTCTGCAAAAACTGACCTTCCTGAGTGTTGGACTGGCTTGTGGCCAAGCCATCTTCTAGGCCCACTGAGTTGTTACCCAACAGGTTACCTCTTTCTGACGCCGTGAGATCGGCGAGAAGTTCCGGGGGAATCCCTTGACTGGAATCCAAGAGGGGCAGGCTGCGACTGCGCTGTACTGGCTGGCAAGGTGGTGACAGTGAGTTGTTGGCATTGGTGGCTGAAGACATTGAGGCGGGAAGCATCTCATTGTTTCCAGGCAGAGCGCTGACAGGGTTCTGCATGCTGTCCAATGAGGAGCTCCGCTGAACAGCTGCTGGGCTTGCCTGCACTTCGTTCTTCACCAGAGGTAAGCTGCTGTCCATCCCAGATAGGGCCATGCCTGTGCTTAACTGTCCAGTGGTTCATTTGACAAAGCATCCCTTTCTGGCTGCTTCTTCTTTTGATGCCTTCAGGTACTGCATAAAGGTGAAAAAGAGAGATCTCAGTGACTAATGTGAAGCCTAATGGAAAGATTCCGAGTACACACATGCATATTGTCAAACAACAGAGGGATGACTTGCACCAAACTGAATTCTTCACAGTATCCACCATTGTCTGATATGGGCTTGCTGTTCATTAGCAGAGGGGAGTGTTAAGTATGTCATGTCACACGCCAAGAAGCAGAATTTGGGGACGTGAATCCTAACAAGTGCAAAGCATTTTTACACAGAAACTTCTGAAATTCTCCCCAATTCTTCACTTTGTCACAGAATCCAACATTAGTTCAAATCCATCACTACACCACAGTGTGCCGGTACTTCCCCTTTGGCAGCAGGAATTCTCTGTTTTCAACTCAAAATCCACACTGTACAAAGTGCATCTTGAAGTTTGGTAAGTTCTACACTTGACATATGTATGAGGTCAGCCTCTCCTTTCCTCCCACTGGAGGTAAACCTGGCTAACGTCCATGCCGGCAGACACAAAGTGATCAGGGGATGCTGTAACTTCAAGCCTCATAAAAATTCACTTTTCAAGATGATGTTGGATTGATGGGACCTTACGTTCGTCGTGTCTATCACACAGCACTTTTTCTCTGTGAGGACCATCTATAAATGTACTTATGCATCTATAAAATTCTCCAGACGAGAATTACTTATACCTCACAAGCTACAAGTACAAGAACATGTACCTCCATGTATAAACATCACACGGGCATGGTACTGAACTTTCAGTTACAGAACACGTATTGAGAGGTAGAAACTGATACCTCTATTTTTCAGTTTGCCATTTCACATGTTCTTTTGTGCTTGGGGCATTCAACAGAACACAACTGGAAGGTGTAACTGACTGTTGCATGCCTTTATTAATACCTGGAATTGACTGTGGTTGTGGCATTGCTCACAATGACTAGTCAAGCACAGTAAATTCCCACTGAGTTTCCAACGTGTCCACACAAGCGGAATATGATGCATTCTAATTACAAGTAGTATGACCATACGTTTTACATATATGATTCGATTGTAACACACACTAGGGGGACTATTTCACTGCGTGAACCATGTGGCTGTTACTTCTTGCATTTTACTGATTAATGCTACATCATAATTGAAACTGTAGATTCCCTTGAAAACCAAGGCAAAGAGAATGTAAAAATAAAGGACTGTAAGTTGCCACAATTGGTTGGAATAAATATTCACACACGGTATAAGAAATTTTCACATCACAATGCTCAAACACGAACACTTATCCTAAAATGCTCAAATACAAACACTTATCCTAATGACATGTACGACAAAATGGTTTTTAACTTGTCATTGTAACGGTACATGTATTTGACACTTGTATCTTTTCCAGATTATTCACTTCCTGGTTCTTATCGGTTCATCTTTGATGAAAAAAAGGGTAATGCAAGTACGTGGGTTTTCTCCCTTCATCCATCCCTCTTCACGTTTCCTAAATATGCACTCAGCTGAATATGACAAACTCAAGGTACAAAAACACCTTAAACTGCTCAATCTTAACAAAAGATTTGCGTTCACTAATCACCAACTCAAAATTGTATCATCCATGACAATGAGCACCAACATGTTTGTGAAGGGAAACGACGACTGATGACACTGGTGTGAAAGACAATTTTAAAGGGACCTGTCTGTTGGCCTGTGAGCAATTCATGTTAACACCAATTTCCATAACTGCAACAAAAGGGGTGACATCACTGACATGCACACAGCAGAACTGCATACAGCAGAAATACATGTACATGTAGCAGTAGCTGCTTCAAGTAACATAAGTTACCAGAACAAGGAAAGTGTTCCACTGTGCAACATTTTGGGTCCAAAATGACTCAATAACCCTCAAATGCCCAAGGCGACAGATACCTAAAATGTTAGGAAATGACATACTGTACTTAATGAATTCCAAGGGATTTGTTGATGTCCCAGTATTATTATACTCGGAGAGGCATGGACATTTCCACAAAGCATGATTTATTCCGACATTTATTTCCTGGCCCATCATTAGCACAAAGCATAACATACATGAATGTGTCCCGGGGTCCATGAACCGGTATGTGTGGTGCATGCAGTGGAGCACTAAGCCTTCCTTTAGATGTTGCTTTCTCCACTAATGTACCCGTTCAATTCAGTACACAGTTGCTTGAGAATCATTTCACGTTGGGATACATGTTTGTTTCAACACTACTGAACCTGAAGCTTATGGAAAAGTTTGACAAGTAGGGTACATGTACCGTCGCCTTTAATTTCAAGAGCAGAGAGTGATCTTACTTGGATGTACACGGACAGCACTGGTTTGGGAAAAAAAATGTTAGTTCAACCTAACTGAACCGTGGACTATACACACAAGTACATGTACATATCGCTCAGGCTGAAGTTGTACTACCCTGTAAGGTACATGTAAATATATAAATATCTTGTATGTGTTTTTTAGTGTCATTTTACAGGTAATTCTTTGACGGACAGGACAGGTTCTTCTTTGACAGGAAAATTTGGAGGAGACAGAAACTGCCGGTATGCAAAATCACTTACATGTACATCTGTCTTCAGGACAAGACCCCTTCAAAAGTGCAGCAATTTCTGGTGGACTGAGATACATGTCAATCCATCTCCTAAATTCACCAGCTGTAACCACAAACTTGCACTAAAGAGAGTTTCTGTGAAGTTCAGAGGTACACGTATGTAAACGCACACTAACGACGAGTATCCGCATGCAGTTACACAGGTATGAATGTACATGTATGTATGTCAATGGGTCACAAAACCTTTCAGCTAAAACCTGAATTATTACTGCTCAAGCGTGTACAATAAATGTTTCATTACACAAGTTGAAGCCTCAGTCTCAAGGCACTTGAATGTTCATGATTAAGCAACGAGTGTGACATGGACACCAGAGAGCCAATGAACGCACATGTTGGCAGGAAATGGGGAGGTCAAGCTGCAAGGAAACGAAGCTAATGTGATGACTAACGCTCAGATTTCTGTACACACGTACATGTATATGCAGTCTCAACACACACACAGACAACCCTACACAGTTAAAATGATGAGTGGAAGTATCATAGCACAGTGTACACGAGCAGTGCCTGTGTGAGTAAAACAAACTGGTTGAATGCAATGCTGCTATAATTTGACCGGGCTGCGACACCATGCTATATTTGGCATCTAGTGAGCAACGCACAAAATCCCACAGAAACGGGATTCCCAGGGACCAGCACTGCAACTGCTACGCAGTGCATGCACTCTGCGGAGCAACACATACATGTCCATGTACATTCTTGTACACTGTGACTACACATCAGGTAAAAATGGGGAAGTATTGGAAGAAATGCATTCCTCTATGAAGGATGGCTCGAGGCGGGGGGGGTCTACGAAAAACTTGCTGTAGATTTTCAAATTTCTCACATTCACACTTTGGTCTTCAAGTATTAATCACAACTTGTGTACACAAACCTGGCATTACGTTCCTGAACACACTCTATGTACAGAGCAATTTCCCCTGCATCTCATCACAAAATATGACACAGACAATCTGCAAGGTTTTCAAAATGCACAACAGACTTCAGCAACACACTTTGTGATAAATCCTTTCAAACATCTTGACTTTATTCTAGCAAGTTACTGTACTTCCTGATCCTCAGTGACAGCCCTCAGCACACACTGCCGTCAACATCCCTACATTGCCACCCAATGAAATCGTGGGAGACAGCCTGCCCCAAAAAATCTGCTCTCATACACTAATATTCAAAGTGTTGGCAAGTTTCAGATGCAAGACCACCTTTCTTCTCATCTGGTCCAACACTGAACTTGTATGCAAATGTTTAAACATCACTGGGGAATGGTATATGTACATGTATCTATTACTACACAATTGTATGGGGACCAAAAGATGCCACATGCAGTGTACAATGTAAGTTCTCGTACCCCGCACAGGTTTCCCAGTTGATCCGGCAGTATTGGCAGTTCTTGGACACTGTTCCATACTGAACAACAAAATCCCATGGATCTGTAGCATCAGCACACTGTAGAGACTTTTTGTGAGACCAATGAGCTTGCCATTTTTCATGGCAAAAAGAGAAACTAATTTAGGGAGGCATTCAAGAGACAAATGGGCACTCTTTAGCTACCAGCGCCCACTAATTTCGAGCCTTATACATGGACATGTAACTGCCCTAAAATCAGGGTTTCCCGTGGGGAACTGATATGTGTGAGGTGGGTCAAAAATTTTGCCAAAATTTTAGTGCCTAAAACAAAAGCGAGTGTTTTTTAAAAAGCCAAAAATTAATTCTATATAGTCTAATAGTACATTTACTCCAAATTTCTCTTCTAAAATAAATCGATCTTGTATTCTGTGTCCTTATCATTCTGAATGATTTAAAACTGATTTCAAAATATCTAACTTATTTTGCTTTTTCCTTCCATCTTTGTCTATTTTAAGCGCGAGGCGGTAAAATTCAACAGAAAAGCCAGAGGTGGTCACTAAGATCAGTGAGGTGGGCCGCCTCACACTTGAATAGACAGGGGACACACTGCCTGAAATGATTAGCAACGTGCTTTCTAAGGGAATAAAAGTGTGGTGGAGCATGTATAAAGGGGCCTGGTTGCCAATAATGGCCCAACCCACAGGCCAGCTATAAATCACGAATTTATACACAATCCACCACACTTTTATTCCCATTCATAAACACCTTTTTATTAAAAAAGGGTAAAAAGATTGCAAAAACAGACAAAATACTTCACTTTCATTCAGCAATCTCGGATAAATTTACCAATCCATATGGGGCAGTTTTAAACGTAAATTAGATTATAAGTGGTCTCTAATGTTAAAGCTTTACCCTAAGTTTTCCCTAACTTTTAAACCAACCCACTTTCAGGGAAACATTGAGTTTCTTTGATAGCAAAGTATTTGTGTTTACTGTAGAAACATGACATGCATATGTACATAAACCGGTATATTACGTGAC